TCACTGAGTCCATGTTTTCCAACTACTGAATCTTTTTCTTTGTTCCCGACTTTTGCATTCCAGTCACCCATTATTATCAGTGCATCTTGATTGCATGTTCGATCAATCTCCGATTGTAAAAGTTGGTAAAAATCTTCTATCTTCTCTTCCTTGGCTCTGGTTGTTGGTGCATATATTTGAATGATAGTGGTATTCACTGGACTCCCTTGTATGCATATAGATATTCTTACTTATAGTTTCCTTTTATTCATGGAATAGACATTTTAAGATTTTACCAGAATACCCCCTAAAAATGTACTTAATGTTTTTAAAATACAGTATTTTGTTTTATAGGTGTACCATAATATATTTAACATATTTTGGGAGTCTTTTGTTACTATAGGAAGCTCTGGGGACCTGATTGGTAAGGAATTGAACTGCCAACCTAAAGGCACGTAGTTCGAATCTTCTAGCTGCTCCATGGGAGAAAGATGGGTTGTCTCTTCCAGGGTGATTTACAGCCTCTGAAGACCCACTTGCAGGGTCAGCAGTGAGTTGGTTCTGACTTGCCAGCAATGAGTGAGTGAGTGAGTGAGTTTATTATTCTGACAGTATTGCACTAAATATCTTTTGACATATATCTAAACCTGTTGTGCAAATTTTGGGTGTTAAAACTTTTCTTTTCTCAGAAGGATTTGATTATAATGAAGAGGAACGATATGACTGCAAAGGGGGTGAACACTTTGGAAATCAGCGAAGATTTCCTGGACACCTTTTTTGGGACTTTCAGGTATAAGTATAAATAAAAACTAAAGCAAGTATAAATTAAAACATTTCAATAGAAAACTGTAGAAGGTATAAACAGTGTCTAGTTTGAACTTTTTTTTTTTTTCATTTTTGTGTGAGTGTACCATCAAATCAGATCTGACTGGTACAGGAGGAGATTGTCCCTCCTTTTCTCAGCAGAGCATCTGGTGGATTTGAACCGTGTGCCTCTGGGATTGTAGTTGCAGCTCCTTACCACTAGGCCACCAGAGCTCCCCTAGTCTGAACTTTTTTAATAGCTGTTTTTTCATCACACATAAACCATTTATTAATGCTCTGTTACCATTCTTTTTGTGAGTAGTTTGAAGTAATTTTTAGTAAGATCTAATCATCAACCAGTGATGCTCCTTTTAAATAAAAGTTAATGGCTGCATCGTTCATGGAGAATATGTGTGGATTATACCAGGAAATAATGTTTATTATAATATTCTTGTTTGTTTATAATTGTTTTTTGTTCTTATAAAATGCTAGCCAGTTTACTGTGTGGATCATAATTATACAGTCACTTTAAAATAGAATTTTAATTCATTTTAACAGATAAACATCTTAGGTGAAAAGGATGATACACCAGTCCATTTCTGTGACAAATGTGGATTACCTATTAAAATCTATGGGCGAATGGTAAGTACAACTCAGTTTTGGTTTTGTACATGCAAGAATTTACATAGAAGTAGGATTCTAAAAGTTAGGTAGACTGAGGTACTGTTTTCTTGTTGGGCGTCAGTGACCCCATGAGACTAAGAACTGCCCCTTGGGATTAGCTTGGCTTCAGTCTTTATGGAAGCAGATTGCGAGCTCGCTCTTCTCTAGAGCTGTTGGGTGGACTCAAAGTCCTGTTAACGTACTGGTCAGCAGTCAGTTGTATAACTGCTTCTTAGTTATTGTTTAATGGCTTTAAGTTTGTAATATTTTAAATAAGTATGAAATAGCAGTGGAAAGGTCTATAATAATAATGATAACAATTTAGTACAGTTAAAGTAGGTTTTCTTTTTTTTAAATTATTATTAAATTTTATTAGTTTTAGTGAATACAGTAGGTTTTCAAATGGCTTATGAAATATATTTCTCTAAAAACGAATTTCTTTAGTCTGTTTTACTTAGTTTGTATTTATTTTGTTAAGAGAAAAAAATGCTTGTTTTTTTTATCTTAGCTGAAATGTGTTCATAATTTTGAAGCCCATCATTTTTTACTCAAAAACTAAATAATACATAATTTCTGAAAGTTAATTTTTTTTAAGCCTTATGTATAGCCTTAATTTTAATTTTACTGTGCTTTTGACACATCTTTACTTAAAGAAAGTTAGTTTTGTGTTTGTTTGGGAAAAAACAATTTACGTCAGTAGTTAATATCTGGGATGGCCGAGGGTATAGATTAAGCTTTATTTTTCTATATCTCATAGCAAGTAAATATCCTGATTGGGCTGTGAGCACTGATGTATCATTTAAGTGTTTTTCGGGTTTATTCTTAGGTTTTTTAAAATTCAGTTGATAAAAATACAGGGGAAATGCTATTTAAATATTAGACACACTTGACTACTCTAGAACACTTGTATTAGTAGACTGAGAACTCTTCATCAAGAGCTCTTAACCTGTGGGGCCCAGTTAGGACATTTCTAGGGTCTACAGCCCCCGCAGTCGTTAGCAGATATGCATACATAGGCAGCCATCAGAGATAACCGTGATTCAGCTCCAGGTCATTTGTGATAAAGTGAATATTAAAGTGAGTCACATGTTTTTGCTTTCCTGGTGCATGTAAAAGGTTATACCGTAGTCTATAATAAAATAATGTAATATTTTGAAATATAATGAGAATTAACCAAAACAAGACAAATACGCAAAGTTAGCACTTGCTGTTGGAAAAATGGTGCTTATTGACTTTTGTGATACAGAATTGCCACAGACCTTCAATTTATTAAAAAAATGAAATTACCTGTGAAGTGTAAGAACATGTTTTTCTTTGTATGCTTTTAGGACAGAAAGGGTAGACCTTTTCATGAGGTTCTCAAAGGTCTTTATAACTAAATACAGTTAATTAGCTTTTATTATACTAGTGCTTAATAAATGTTTACTTATTTCTAATGAATGCTTGTTTTGCTCCTGTTTCTTATGGGAAAATATTAAGTTGTTTTAGTATGCTTACCTGTTATGTATCTTTTCACAGATTCCTTGCAAACATGTTTTTTGCTATGACTGTGCTATTTTACATGAAAAAAAGGGAGATAAGATGTGTCCAGGGTAAGATCATTATTACATTTTAAATCCTAACATTTCTACAGTTATAACTTGCATTCCAATTCAAAGCCAGCATGTGAAGTAAACTAGAAAAAGGTGTCAGGTGTGTAAGTCAGGGTAATCTTTCAGTATCTGTTCGTGGTTGGCCATGACATTCTCCTCATAGATAGGGCAGTACGTTGTTAGTACCTATCTTAAGGCTTATTGGTAAGGAATTGTGCTGCCAGTACGAAGTTATACTGTTCTAATCCACCAGCTGCCCCATGGGAGTAAGATGGGCAGTCTCCTACTGTGTGATTTGCAGCCTCTGAAAACCCACTGGAGGGTCAGCTATGGGTTGGTCCCAACTCAGTGGTACATGACAGCAGCAAAACCACACTTCATATTGGCTAGAAAGATGAAATCTGTTTGTCATCATAGTATCATTAACTAAACCAGTGGATAAGACACTAGAAGGCTAGTATGACGTAGTGAGCAAGAATGAAAACCCTAGCATCTGAATGTCTAGGTTCAAATGCTTGCACTTTAAAAAAAATAATTTGTAGGGATCTCTGGTGGCCTAGTGGCAAGACACTGTGCTGCAATCCTGAAGGCGTGCGGTTCGAATCCACCAGATGCTCTGCTGGAGAAGGAGGGGCAATCTCATGTGCCAGTCAGATCTAATTCGATGGTACACCCAAAAAAAATCTCACAAAAAACCAAAAACCACACACACACTAAAATATTTGTATCATATATATGCTGTTTTCTTCATGTGTAAAATGGAATCGTAATCGTACCTATCTCCCTAGGTTATTATAGGTTTAAATGAGTTAATGTATAAACACATTGCTGATGAGTTATTTCTGACTTGCAACAACCCTACAGAATAGGATATAACCTCATATTAAGACATGATGAAATAAATTATTTTTTAAAGTTTCCTTTCATGAAAATTTTTTTTTAAGTTGTCAAGGTCTTAATTTTATTGAGATGCACAATCTGTGTCTACAAAAGAGCATCCAAAAATTTAAATGATGTATTGAATTGGGTAAACCAACTGCAGTAGACTTCTTTAAAGTGCCAAACAGCAAGGACTAATTTGTTTAAATTTTAATGAAAAGTTTACAGAGACTTGGGATTTCTATTTATTCATTGTTGCACTTTTCTCCCTGCCCACCCCTCCACCCCAGTTCGCTCTTCTCTTTGAAAAAGAAAATTTTTTTTTGTTACACAATCCTTCCCTCCAAGTCCACTCGACTATGTAGCCTTCGTTTTGAAAAATAGAAGAAAAATTCTTTCATTGTTATACAATCCCTCCCTTCAAGTCCACTCTACTATGCAACCTTCATTTTGCAAAGTAAAATAAAAATTCTTTCATTGTTAAACAATCCCTCCCCCTAAGTCCACTCCACTATGCAGCCTTTGTTATGGACTCCTGTTGTGACAATAATACCCAGTCATATCCCTTTTAAACAGTTCTCTCCCTCATCTATTTCAGTGCAGGATACATTAATTTACCCCATCTTTCTCAGTCACCCCCGAACCCTGATGGTAGTCCTGTTTTACAACAGTGACACTATGCAGTATTTGTCCGTTGGTGACTGAGATATTTCACTCAGCATAATGTCCTCCAGGGTCACCCATAGTGTATAATATTTCATGAGTTCCTTCTTTTTCAGTGCAGCATGTAGTATTCATAATATACCAGGGCTTCTCTATCCATTTGTTAATGGGCACTTGGGTTGTTTCCAGCTCTTTGCTATTGTGAACAAAGCTGTGATAAACATGGGTGTGCAGAAAAATGTTTCTTAAAGTTGGCTTTCTTGCTCCCTCAGCTCTCTGGACTCAAATTGTCACACCCCAAGTCTCCACCTAAAGTGAAAAGGGGGCTCACAAAATTTAAATTTTTTTATCTAATATTATGGATCCCATACCACACCTCAACCCGACTCTTTCTATTTCTGCTGTATTAAGCAGACTTTGTGGCAAAGAATGAAATAAAAAAATTATCTTGAGGCATTAAGAAAAGATTAGTTAAGGAGGGGCAGTCTCCTCCATCAGTCAGATCCAGTTTGACTGTATACACTCACACACACACACACAAATGTAAAAAATTTAAAAAAAAAGATTAGTTACATTTAATACTTAGTGTTTAGAAAAGTTGTTTTGTATGGTGTCGAGTGAGAACCCACTCACAGCTGATCCTCCTGAGGGTTTTCAGAGGTACTTAATTACATGGGAGGAGATTGCTTGCCTGCCCTTCTTTTGAGGAGCAGCTAGTGGATTTGAACCATATGCCTCTGAGAGTGCAGCACAGCTTCATACTACTAGGCTACTAGAGCTGATAGAAAAGTAGTAGTAGTAGTAAACTTGTTTGCCTCTTTAGAATGATTGAGACCCAAGGGACTCTGTCACAGTTAACATTTGAATTTCAGTTGTTTATATTAATCCTAATGATTAGAATGATCTATTTCTTTAGAACCTTCTACTTACTATCTTTCACTTGGTATATTATTTGCAAAAAACCATACTGTTCATTAAATATGCAATTTTGAATTCTATTAGCAAGTGGCATGTTCTCTGAATTGCCCTTCTTAGATGTGTAGAACTGTTTGAGATCATTAGATAAATTCAAGATGAGGAGAAGAAGAAACACTCAGGGCTGTTGAGTTGGATTTGACTCAGAACTGAGCCTCCATTTGGGTTTCGAGACTGTAAATCACATGAAGGAGATTACCCCTCTTTCTCCTTCAGACACACTGGTGGATTTGAACCCTCAGAGAGGTGTGACCTTTGGGTTAGCAGTACAACTCTCTATAGACTAGAGGTCCCTGTTAGGAAGAAGGAGGTGTTTTGGTGTTTGGTATTTTTTTTAAAGTACTCTGATAATTTGTTTTCATTCTTAAGAGTTCTGAGGTTGATAGAAATGCTGATCTTTTATAGCTAAAGACTCATGCACAGGAACTATAACTTTGAATTGTGAACTTTGTTGATATTTTGCACAGCAGTTGAGTTTTTAAAATAGCTATATCCCTGAGATGAAGTGCATTATTTTTATATTCTGATTTAAATTTGATTTTTCCCCCTCCCTTTCTGATTTAGCTGTAGTGATCCTGTGCAGCGAATTGAGCAGTGTACCCGAGGTTCTCTCTTCATGTGTAGCATTGTTCAAGGGTGCAAGAGAACATACTTATCTCAGAGAGACTTACAGGCTCATATCAATCATCGCCATATGAGAGCTGGAAAACCTGTTACCCGAGCTTCGCTTGAAAACGTTCATCCTCCGATTGCCCCACCACCAGCTGAAATCCCTGATCGTTTCATAATGCCGCCAGACAAGCATCATATGAGCCATATCCCGCCAAAGCAGCACATCATGATGCCACCACCTCCTCTGCAGCACGTGCCACACGAGCACTATAATCAGCCCCATGAGGATATCCGGGCTCCTCCAGCAGAATTGTCCATGGCTCCACCTCCACCTCGGTCGGTCAGTCAGGAAACCTTTCGTATTTCAACAAGAAAACACAGCAATTTAATAACTGTCCCTATTCAGGATGACTCAAATTCAGGTGCTAGAGAACCACCTCCTCCTGCCCCAGCACCTGCTCACCATCATCCTGAATATCAGGGTCAACCAGTGGTATCGCACCCTCATCATATTATGCCTCCACAGCAACATTATGCACCACCCCCACCTCCTCCACCACCAATAAGCCATCCAATGCCACATCCTCCCCAGGCCGCAGGTACTCCTCACTTGGTTTATAGCCAAGCTCCACCTCCACCAATGACCTCCGCTCCACCTCCAATAACCCCACCCCCTGGACATATTATTGCCCAGATGCCACCTTATATGAATCATCCTCCTCCAGGACCTCCCCCACCTCAACATGGTGGTCCACCTGTAAGTGCACCCCCTCCTCACCATTATAATCCTAACTCTCTACCCCAGTTCACTGAAGATCAAGGAACTCTCAGCCCTCCATTTACACAACCAGGGGGAATGAGTCCTGGTATATGGCCTGCACCAAGAGGGCCGCCTCCTCCTCCACGAATGCAGGGGCCGCCTTCTCAAACCCCACTTCCTGGACCACACCATCCAGATCAGACAAGATATAGACCTTATTACCAATGATAATAGTGTTTTGAACTGAAGAGATGAGGAAGAAAAAAAAACCCAACATACATAGCCAGCCTTTTAATTAAGCTTTGACTGTTCGGGGAAGGAAGAACACCTCTCACAGAGGGGGCTATAAAACACTTTAGGGTCTTGTTGCCGAAATTGGTTTTAAACCTTGATCTTAGGACTGATTTCAAGTACTATACTGTCGTGCATATGAGTGGCTCAGTTGAGCACAGCTCTGTTTTAACAACTTTGTTCTCCTAGTGGTAAAACAACCCAGAGGTGACCATTTGTAATATTATTTCCTGGAAAAAAAAAAGAATTGTTTGTTTTCATCGTTCCATTTGCAAAAGTATTGCTTTTGTTACATCCAGTCTTTAGTTTTTCTTGTGATGCATTTTGTTAACCTGTGTAAACTGATTAAATTTCAAAATGGTTGTAAAGAATGCTATTTTTATGTGACTTTAAGTACAGCCACATACTGTTTTTGAAAACTATTTGTTTTACCACTAATTTTCCAAAGTTAGAATAAAAAAAAATTCTAAAAGTGAAAATCTATAATAGGATTTACTGTAAGGCAGACAGTAAAATGGCAGAAAATTATTTCACATTGTAGGCACTGAAATTTTGAGGTATAGTAATTATATATGTGCTTCACTCGGATGCCTTTTCTTAGGCAGCCTGAGGAGCACCAGAATACATTGGAATTCTAATACTAAAATATATTTATGCTCATAATACTAGAAAGCATTACTAATTGTTGAAAGGATACAACAAAAAGCTGATCCCATAGGCTTCAAACTAGTGGGGAATGCTATTATGCAGGCTTTATATTGAATGGCTGGAATCACATAATGTACCACACTTCGTAATGTTAAATAACAATAATGTTTAAGTGGTATTATTTAGATAAAGTGTGTCCTACTCTGTTCATTGTCTTGAAATATTTAGGGATGAATACGCTTGATATGCTGCCTCATTTCATGGTAGTTTGATCCTCTGCTTAAGTGGTTTCTTGTTTATTAGTTTTAAATCATTTGAATGCCAGGGTGGAATTAGGATAAAATGTTAATGAAAGCCGTTCTTGTAATGACATATTTGCATCTGCTCAGGTCTCATTACTGTATGATAAAGGTTTTTCCTCTAACTTGAAATTGAAAAACGGTTATTTCTTGCTTTTATTGGAGCAGTCTAAACTTGGGGACATTTTAATATGACAGTAACAGTGAAGACTCCCAGGTGATTTTTGTGTTGAAAAAAAGTAATGACTAAATTGTGTATTTCAGTCCTTCTTAAGGTGCCTTTGAGTCAGCTTTTGCATTATAGGGACTTGATATAGTCCAATTAAGAAAACCACTTTTAGTTTATACCGAGCTCGTATGTATAAATTGAGATTCTTAGGATATTATTAGATATCCTTTGAATAAACCCCTGTGAAGGTTTTTCTGCCCCCTAAAATGGTGCATAATAGAAACAAAATGTATAGTGTGCAAATTTCATTTATTAGATAGTTAATAGGGTTATCAATTTAGAATACTTCTTATTGCGAAGGGTCAACTGATTGGTAATTTGTCATTCTGTCAGATTCAGGAAAAACCGATTCCCATCATGGATGATTTGATGCAGAGGCATCTCTGAGCTCACAACTGAAGTTAGAAAGAATATTTCATCCTTTAACCAACCAAAAACAACTAATAGAATTCAAAACAATAGTTTTTCATGCCTAGCAATTTGAGAGTCCAAATGTTACTATAATATTTCTAGTGAGAAAAGCTTGTTATTAGAAACATGAGAATGAACTAGTGTGAAATGATGAGGAATGCTTCAGGCATCACTGGAGGTGATTGAACTGGTGCAAGCATGATTTTCACGCCCCAGTTTAGGAGCTGTTGTTGCCTTAGTACTGTTGAAAATCTAATCCCAGTCTTTGTTTCATGTAATAAGAAAATAGCCAAATTCACCTAAGAACTGCTTCTCAACTGTGAAGAGTTCTCTTGGTTGGTTGGGTTTTTTTTTTTTCCTTCTTTTTCTTTTTTTAAAATTCACTAGGGTTGATGTGGTATGACACTTCTTAGCCAAACTTACATCTTGGAGGGGGGAAAAAATTATCAGTATCATGATGACATTCTACCTTTTCTTTTTTTAAAGTAGACTTTTGAAAGATTTTTTGGGGGGGTTAGGTTTAAAAATTTGTTATGCAAGGAGGCATATCAGATGAATGTGTTGTAGCATACAAAAGTTTTCAGTGTATTAGACTTGAATTCATCCAGTTTTTGTTTGAATGAGGGTGGATAGGTTACAAAATTATTGTTAGTATTTCTTTCCTTAAGGAAAAAGATGTGAATCCCAGCCTTGTTTCAGGGAAGCCTTTGAAGATATGATGGACATAAGTCTAAATTCAATGTATGTATGTTTCATTATATTGCTCTTAAGACTACTGAGGTGGCAGTTTAATTCTTAAAAACAATAAAATGGAAGCATAAATACTGTTTTGCCTAGGTGAATTTTTACCTAATAATAAGATCTGGAAGAATGCAGAATTTTCCATATTTATATTGTTGCAGCTTTTACAGTAAACTAGATTCTCATTGCTATCAAATTGAATGTGATTGGTTTTTTGCAAAGACTAAGAAGCCATACTTTAAATTTATTTTGTTGAAACGAGTGTGTTATTGCACAAAACTGTTGTGTAAATACTAACTAGATACACTGAAAGAGAAATGAAAAACTTGTTTAAACATTCTTCAAATTCACTGTAAGTGACTATTTTAAGCTTCATCAAGTTTTGCGCTAATTCCCTGGAGGAGTGCATTTAATGTTTTTTGAAAAAGCCCTGTGTTGTTTATGTGGGGAGGGGAGCACTCTTGTAACAAAACAAAATACATGTTTCTCAACTAGATATGCTTGCAGGTTAGTATTCTGATGTTAATCGCCATTTGACATCATATTCAAATAATATATTCTGATCGAGGTAATTTCTTTTTCACTGGTTCAGCACTATAATCTGTTAAACTGTTATTTTTGTTATGCACTATCAGGTCAGAAATGACTCATAGTTGACCCTCCAGAGGGTTTTCAGAGGAGATTGACCATCTTTCTTCCATGGAGAAGCTGGTAGATTCAAACTGTGCCTTTAGGTAGGTAGCACAGCTCCACGAGGCCGCCAGAATTTCCTTAATCTGTTCAATAGTGGTCTAGTGATCCTTGGAGAAGGACATTATGCTCGGAAGTGTGGAGGGAACAGTGCAGGAGAGGAAGACCCTGGGTGAGATGAATTGATAGAGTAGCAGTGTCGTAATTAGTGAGACTGGTTCAGGACAGGGAAGGGTTCAGAGCTGCTGTACATAAGGCCGCTATGGATCTAGACGACTCGATAGCACATTAACAACAAATCACTTACAAAGTTTTATTTAACGCATAAAAAGATATCCGTTATATAGAGTTTCCCAGCGGTCCCGTGGATCTGTCTCTTGCTTCAACAGTGTTTGGACGGAACAGACCCAGCGACTTTCCCCCTTCCAGCCTCCGACTACCCTCCAACTTCACCCCCAGGCGTAACCTCAACCATCTCAAGCCATCTCCTATTTTCAGGACCAGCTAACACCTTTTTTTGGTTAATCCCAAAACTTTGACCAACTATGAGCTCTCAGATCCGTCAAAATTATTCCGCCGAAGCAGAACCTGGCGTCAACCATCTGGTCAACCTGCACCTGCGGGCCTCTTACACGTACCTCTCAGGGTTTTTATTTTGACCGTGATGATGTGGCCTTGGAAGGCGTGGGGCACTTCTTCCGCTAGTTGGCGAGTGAGAAGCGCGAGGGTGCCGAGCTGCTCTTGAAGCTGCAAAACCAGTGCGGCAGGCGAGTCCTCTTCATCCAGAAGCCATCCCAGGATGAGTGGGGTAAAACCCTGGACGCCATGCAAGCAGCGCTGGCCTTGGAGAAGAACCTAAATCAGGCCCTTCTGGATCTGCACGCAGTGGGTTCCGCCCACACTGACCCCCATCTCTGTGACTTTCTGGAGAACCACTTCCTAGATGAGGAAGTGAAACTGCTGAAGAAGATGGGTGACCATCTGCCAACATTAGAACACTGGGCAGCCCCCAGGCTGGGCTGGGCGAGGATCTCTTTGAGCATCTCACCCTCAGCATGACTAGGGGTCTGCGGGGACTTGCAGGGGGGAACCTCTGCGTCCCCCTGCCATCAGCAGCAAGCTTCTCTTTCCTACCCTGATGTAGAATCTTATCCACCCAGAAGCCCTTCGCCCAAGCCTTGGACCAAATGAAACAATAAAGCTTTTTGCAAAAAATAAAATTAAAAAAATAACCATTATATAGAGAAATACAGATTTTAAATATGTATCTGATAGGCATTGTTCTAAGCACTTAGGATATACTGGTAATTACAGACCATCCCATATTAAATTACAGAAATATTAAAAGTGGTAAAATTGTAGGGGGGGAAATGAGAAAGTAAGGATTGACAGTTTATAAAATAGAATGCTCTGAGCATTCTATTTATGAAAGAGGTGATACCTGAAAAAAGTTTTGAAGTAAAGAACTCTTATTGGTAACTTGGAGATGAGCTTTCCAAACAGTGACAGCACCAAGATCTTAAAGTGAGATTGCAGTTGATGTGTTTGAGGAATAGCAGGGTTCCTCAGGGAAAAGAGTGTGGGATGTCAAGAAGAGTAAAAACTTCAGAGAGGTAAGACAGGGAGGGAGTAGGCTATGAAAAGTTCATAGACTTGCATGGACTTCAGTCTCAGGCTCTGACATGGGAAACTTTACATGGGATATGTTGGTTGTACCATTTTAAGGGTCAGGAAGTGAACAATTTGTGATGTTGTTATGTGCCGTCGAGTCGCTTGCGACTCACAGCGACCCTATGTACAACAGCCCTAAACTCTGCTCTGTCCTGTGCCAATCGCA